GAAGGTCCGGGGCCCAGCCCCCAAGGTTGTGACTGGAAGCATAAAAATGCAGTGACATAGCTGCAGGGTCTGCGCGCTGCTGTGCAGCGGCGGCTGGCGATCTGACTCGTCTATCATCCAAGCAAAGCAAAGCGGAGAACGACAAGAAGGCGGATGCCAAGAAGGCGGAGGCCGAGGCCAACAAGAAAAAAATGAGCTGGAGAATGCTATGAAGGTCGAGGGGTTCGAGCCCAAGGTCCACTTTTCGTCCGCCAGAAAAAGCCTTGCACGAACCTGACCCATTCACGCCAGGTGCTGCAGATTTTCCAGGCTCAGTTTGCGTAGTCGATTGCAGTTACCGTCTTAGCTTCGGTGGCCGATGCCAAGCTCCCTTGAAAAACTTGGACCACGAGAACATGGCGGCAGTCGACAAAACGATCAAGGAGTACTTGCCCCCGTGGGTACAGGAAGCGGATGTGGTGGCCGTCCAAGACGATGCCCACTTCAGCACCATCTTGCTGTACGGCTTCCTGCCCACCATGAAGTACATTGGCACCGAGTAGCAAGGGCTGGGCTGCTTGCGATGCGCGTTTCAAGGCAGCAGGTCGGTCATGATGATCCACATGGTGGATCTGTGGCGTCACTTGCAGCAGAAGAGCGAGTGGTCCGAGAAGTACAACATCATGACCTTCGTCACTGAGATTCTCAACTCTGAGAATCCAGTGACAAAGTCCTTGATCGAGGAGAGCAAGATTTTCCGCATCGCCGAAGTGGAGGCCGGCGACATCATCTATGTGGGGATACTGTTGATGGAGAAGATCGCGGGCGGTTCATCGTGCGTTGGTGTTCGCATGACCGTGCCAGATGCCCGCTCGAACGCTGCATTTGAGAACCTGTAGTGCATGATTGGCTCTTTCCAGAAACTTTCCGGCGAGTCCAGGCTGGTGCAGCTGTGGACAAAGGCTGTGAGCATCGCGGCGGACATGAAGTGAAGTAGTGTCGTAGCCTGGCCCATGCGGCCATAGCCCTCGGCCAGTGGCGTCATGTCAAATCATTTAGAATCCTTATGGCCTTATGGCATGCGTCACATGTTTTGGGGTTTTCGCTGCCATAGTGGTGGCACCGCTCTACTTGTCGCATTCCGAACTCCAAGATCGAATCACCGAGTCGACAGTGCCCGTGATTAGAAAACAGGCCGTACTGTCATGAACATTCGCGCTCATGCCGCCTTCTGCGGCACTTCTGCGTTGCAACATGTATTTCGGGCAGTGCCGTGACGTGTTGGATTGCATGCATGAGGAAGCTGGAGCCCGCAGCAGTTTAAGTTTGCAGTTTGTTTTGTTAACAACAGATTGTACTACTCATGCTCCATTTGCGTATTCTGAAACTCCCCTAACCCCCAAACCTGAAACCCTAATTCCCTAATCCGGCTCAAACGGCTCAAGCGGCCCGAAGCTGCTGGTCAGCGGATGCATGTTTCATGCAAAGGCGACTGGGGTCAAACCGGGTCGTGGCAAAGACGCTTTATGGCCCCGACAACCAGAGTTTCACCCACTTCCCTATGTAACGACACAAAAAGCAGATCCTGCTCCCGCTATCAGTCAGTTATTCAGTGGCTGTGGAAGTGTTATCGCAAACCCCAAATCTGCTTGGACGCTCCCTTTTGATCAATAGAGCGGCTATTGTTTGTTTGTCCAGGCTAGCTGCAGCTGGATCATGTTACAAATATTTAAAGCTACCGGTGAAAATTACTACTTCTAGTACAAGAGCCTTAACTGGCAGATTCAAGATTCAAGATCAATACTCACCGGTGAAGCAACTGGAAGTACAGGGAAGACGGTGGCACGGTGATCCAGAGGCACAAGACGGGCAAACGCGAGTTGATGAGTGAATGCAGGTTGGAGCTGAGCTGATCAACACTGACAGTTGCAGTGATGAAAAAATTTGGGTGCTGGAATTTTCACTTGCGGGAGGCTTGCGGAGGCTTCAGACCTCTTTTGGCCAAGGAGGGGGCCAGCTTCAACAACGGCTGCGGGTGTTTCAGACTTAGACAACGTGCAAAAAGCTTAAGAAAGCTCCGCAAAGCGGACACTTGCCTTGTTTCTGGAAACACCCACCCTCAATGCCCTTTGGGGTAAGTGCCGGGCATGGCTTTGCTCATTCACAATTTCGAGCAATGCCCCACGCAGCACCGCATCCGAGCAAGTTTTCCGTCCGAGAGTGATGTCGCAGTCCTCTGTTTGTAGATTTTCGCCAGAGTGTAGACGAGAAAACGCATGTTGGCGGAAAAATAAAGATGATGTGGAGAAGAACAAACTGAAGAGGACATCGTTCTCACTTTGTACATGCCAGCCTAGACCTGCTTCGTCGGAGCCTTGTGCAAGTGTGTGGGTCTTCCGCGGCTGGGATTGCGGCAACACGGCCAACTTCAAATTTAGCGTCGCGGTCATGGAAACACAGTTTCTGAAATTTCCCGTTTGCATGTTGACATCATTGTGAGCATCGTTTTCGCGGTGCCATGATCAAATATTGTGGTAATTGGACGAGGGATCTGCTGCATCAGTTCTTGTCGTTTGGTGCACGAAGATTTTGGAATGAGATTTCGCCAGGGCAAGTGTTGCCCGAGCTTGTTCAAAACGTCTGCAATGCCAAATGAAAGCACACCAAACACACAGGCATGCGCACCGAAAGATTGCAACCATAAAGCTGAAATGGCATTAAGAGCGGAGTTGTTGAGTTCAAGTATTGTTTCTTCATAGCAGTCTGCTATTCAGCACCACAACCACCACCGCTATCATGCCTGAAGCTGTTGCATGAACCACGAAGATCGGCTTGGCACTTAAACTGTGGGTGTATGGGACAACGGTGTGTGTGAAGGTCTCGCTCGGCACGGTCGCAAAGTTTGCTTGTGTTTGCAACGGAGGACAACCCGCATGAAATCCGGATTTGCTTATGTGGCGGCTATCAGCTCTTGCGCTCTCTACTGCCTGAATGGCGGCTCGGACTGTTGCATGTCCATGGTGGGGTCCGTTGCTTGTAACTGTACATGCCATGCCTTTCGACAAAACGAGGTGAGCTCCTGCAGGCGGGCTGGGATTCTGGGATGTCGTTTGCGTTCATGACGAGAGCGAAGTGTAGGGTGTACTGTGTACTTACGACTTGCATGGACATTCGTCAGCAAAAGCTCAATGTTTGTCATGTCAGAGCTTTCGAGATGTTTGCCGGGACTGGGTTATGAACTCGGAACGATGCGGAATGGTTCACGTGGAAGATGGAGGCACTTCAACGCGCGGCTCCTGGACATCATGCTTCGCCCCTTCTGAACTTGGCGCTGTGCCACCTCGGGGGCCTGCTGCTGACTGGACGAATTGGGAATGCATCAGGATGGAAACACGAATCATGTGTGATGTTTCATCGGGTTTTGTGGCTCCATTTGTCAATGGTTGAGTGGACATGATGCAGCCGCTCCCAGCATCAGGTTTGTCCCGCATTTTGGATGTGCGAGCACTTCAGAGGAGACAGTTGACCGTGAGTCGCACGTCGTCTGGTCTGAGCTTGATGTTTAGTGCAAGCACCATCTTTTCAAAAACTTTTCAGGAGCCTGCCGGGCAGTGCTCAGCGGCCTTTGCGGGCGTCCGGGCGGCACTGTCGCAGCGGCCACGGCTGGCCGCGCTGCCTTTTGCCGCCAACCTGCAAAGAGGAGGAATTTCAAATGTGTCTGTGGGCAGAAAGTGGTGCGCCTTGTGTCATTTCCCGAGGCTCTTCTTCTGATGGGCTACAACTATGCCTGGCTCCTGAGCGCCAGCTTTATTGACCTGCGCCTGACGAACGCGGTCTTCCAAGTTTCCACAGCTTCTCGGATGTCGGTCCTTTATGGCATCCGCTGCAACATTTTGAAATCCGAACGTTTAATTGTCGCCTTGACGATATCACGGCAATGGTCACACTTGAGGCCTTGGTGTACATTGCGAGCGTGCAGCTCTTTGGCGAGGCGCGGTAATTTGGTTGCGCTCCAGAGCTCGGCAGACGCCTGGCAAGCTCGGCTGTTTCGCCCTAGCTTCGGATTCGATTGCACACACGTGGTCGACACACTTTGTGTGTTTGTGACCGAACAGTAGAGTCAGCCAGTCAGGCAGGCAATGACGATACTTTTGCACAGTTGCAGAGAGGCGGTTTGCCTAGAACGCTTGCTTGGCGTGCTGCTCTCCCTTGGAGGCCCACTTTTTGAATGAATTGTGACCGTTTTGTTGCAGTCTGCTTTCGCCCGTAGACTTTCGGGTTTCTTCCTTCATCCCTTCCCTCCAGGATCCTTCATAGCCAGTGGCCTGAAGTGGGATGATGCGAGTGGCGAACTTACGATCGCTTGCCTTACACATGCTCCATCTGTCAGTGCGAGATTGATGCATTGGGGTCTTCTCTATGTACCGATTCCGAGGCAGCACAGCCCCCCGTCATCAACACCAGGTCACCTGATTGGCAGACGTCTTCCCACAAAGCAAGATGGAAGCATGACAGGTTGTTGGTTTCGCCCTGGCCCTGACGGCAGCAGTTGGCTACACAGCCTACCAGGCAGCAGGGTCGCAGACAAGTGCTTCCGTGAGTTTTGGTTCGCTTATTCTGATGCTACTTATGCGTGTCTTTTATTACCCGGACATGCGCAGCAGGTGTTGTTTCGTTGGATCTTCGGCCACCTGAAGCAGAATGTGTCCTTCCTGGCGCATTTCTTCTCCTGGATCAGCTTGTGGCAGCTTGGCGGAGCAGGATTGCTGTCGGCTTGCCGAGGCATTTGTCATTCCTTTGCTCAGCCGTAACATCCTTGCATAGGTTGATGTGATCGCAGTTGCATTCACTTTGCATTTTGCGCGAGTGAACGCAATGCTTAGGCATTTGCTCATAATTCTTCCACTGGTCCTGGCTGCGCATGCTGCTGGCATCGAGCAGTTGCAAGTGTTCGGCCCTTACGTAGCAGGATGTCAACAGCGCTCACACAGCGTGGCAAGGGCTTTTCCAGGCCGCACGGGCTGTTCGCTCTTGTGGGTACCGCCGTGTCGGCGCTGATCGCTTCGACCGTCAACGTGGCTTCCACGGTGTTTTTGAAGAAATCTTGCATCCCATACGTGTGCGCCTGAGCCCTCGCAGACTTCGCAGCCTTCGCCCCTTCAGGTACTTTATCTCTGCATAGCCCAGGCCCCAGGTCTGAGCTGGACAAGACCGTTCGCATAGCGGAATGTCCAGAGACAGTGGACTTTGATCAAACCAAGGTGATGTGGGGATCTCCCATGCTGCTTCCTAGCACCTCTGCCTTGTCTGTGCCGCTGACTGTGGCTCAGCTTTGCAATGCTTTGCAAGTTTTGCGGAAGTTTGTTGCTGCGTCTGCTTCAACTTTCTCGTCCAGGTGGTGCTGGATATCGTCATCCACAATGAGCGACCCGAGCATCTCGAAATGATTGGCCAGGGGCTGGTGCTGCTGTCTGTTGCTTCTTGGCTTGCATGCACGGTGAGTTTACTCAATTCCGTGCTGTGTTTGCAGATGTAGACCGGTTGACCTGGGACCAGGTTCTTATCATGCAGCTTTACAAGGTTGTGCTGCCCAAGGGGCTTTCGCTCAAGAGTGAAATGATGTCGGTTTGAGCTCCAGCCGAGCTTTGCAACGAATCTGCTCGATCTGCAAAATGTGCTGATCCCGGCTGTGAGCAGAGTCGCTGCTTCCAAGTTTTCACCGGGCTGTGACTTTCGAGTCGAGTGTTTAGCTCGTGCCATTTATTGGTAGAGCATCGTTTCAGACACGTTCAAGTCCCTGAGCGCCTGTGCTTCCGAGACCACCCCGGCTTTCTCTTGTGGTGTCGTCGAGAAAAAGCGATCGAAGCCAACACAGTCCCCTCGCGAACGAAGGCTCCCAGCTTCCGGTAGTGTCTTGCAGAAGCTTTGCCCCGTGCAGCTTTTCTGGTTCAGCCGGAACCCAGTAGCCACGATGAAACAGCGTTTGGGACGAGCTTGGCACAATGCTTCTTGTCGCAAAGATGCAGACGGAGGAAAAGAAAAGCAAAAGCCTAAGCCCCCAGGTCCGGGACAGAGGCCGGGAAGGCCGAGCCACCGAAGCAGCGCGCCAGGAAGGGCCCAAGCCTCAGACGGCCCTAGGCCCTAGGCCCTGGGCGACGCTCAATAACTCCTTGAACTGCCTGCCGTAACCGCTGACAAGTGTGTTCGCTGATCTACTGTGGACAGACTTGTAGTGTCTTGAATGCATGTGCGATCTTTGCGATTAGCATCAGCACGGGTTTCCAAGGTCGCAAGTTCCATCGTCAGGGCACTACAGCGGGTGTGCTTCGTCCGCAGTCATGTCGGCTTTGGTTTGAGTTCTTGTGATTGTGTAGAGTGTGTCTACAATACATTTCTAGCCCGTTCAATGGGCTGGAGTATTGCAGAGACTGGTGACTCTTCTACAATTCCAGCGGCCAGCGAAACAAGAAAGGTCTACACCGAGAAAGATCTGAAGCTGAAGGGAGACGGCGTAGTGGCTGCTGTCGCCTACAGCCACCCAGCTGCACTTGATCCTTCCGATTGTGACTCAGTAGCGCAACAACTGTAAGACTGAAGGATTCGAAACTTGGGATGATTGAGTTCAGGCTCTAGATTGAATCGAGCGGGTCTTGAGTCAGGGGCTTGTACTACGGCAGTCTGGAAGATTGAGGGCGAGACAGAAGCAGCCTTGGATGCTTGACGTCTTCTGGAAAAGAAGGTGAACCCTTCATGTCGTGTAAGGCACGAGCCATGCGACGAGCCACGCTGTTGCTAAGGCGGCTGCTTTCTGAATGTGGCCCTTATCGCTATCGCGCCTTGGTGTGGAGTCTAGAACTACTGTCAGAGAAGCCTAGGGCCTAGGGGCCTTGCCCCGAGGTGCTCAATGCATTGTGGATGCTGATCGACACAGAGTGGAACCATGTCAACCTCATAGGCGAGGATGTTCCCGTTCGAGCATTCTTTCAAGGTCAGAATTTCACAAAAGGCTCTGCAGTCAGCGAAACAGCTTGGCAGACCAGGCTCCGATGGTCGGCGGCCACTGCAAGATGTCAGCGGCGTCGTCGAAAACCTTTTCTGTAGTGTCTTGTCGGCGGATTGGCAGCCTGCCGCACCTGTTGCAATCCGCTTGAGCGTCTGTCGTGTCTTGTGGAACGCGGCAAGGTTTCTTCAGCATCGAGATCCTAATTCGTTTTTTTGGATTCAAGCGCTGGCGTTTTATGTTCGAGGACTGTTTTGCAGTCATGATCACTTCAGCAGGAGAGCGAAATGTCCAGTGTTAGGTAACTTCAACCGAAGTTTCCCGTGTCAGGATTCGTGGTTTCTCTTTGTCCAGCACCCAGTTGGCTTTAGCAGAGATCGTTTGCTGCTCCCAGCCTACAGTATTTCCACATGGCTCAGGGTGCATGTGAGCCTGCGTCCCGAGGATGCCTTGTTAGTCATTTTGATGGTGTTGGAAACATGGATTTTGCCACTTGAACTGCAAGATGGGCAGTTCTTGCTTCGTTCGATCTTCAAGCGCGAGCTTCCTATGCTTTGAGCTAGCACGACTTTCCAGACACGATGCTCAGTCTTCTTTGAGGCCTCTTCTGAGTGAGTTTGACAGCCGCTTGAACTCCGACGCGCTCGATAATGTTAAGCTCATCAGGCGACTGCATGTGTTTCCAAGAAGTGACAAAAGCTTCTGCGGAGCTTCGTTGACCAGTGCTCTGCAGGCTGTTCCGCATGTGCGACTCCCAGCATGTGTGACCTTGTGCTTGCCTGCTTAAAACCATTCAAGACATCTGTCTGGAAGGCTTCGCCTGGGCCGTATTTTCCGGATCCTTCGCTACAATCCCGAGATGAGGCTGCTTATAAAAAGCCGCTCGGCAGCCCGAACTGTCAGGACGTGCCCTCGCCTCTGCTCGAGGTTCCCCAAAACAGAAGACTCCTTAGAAGACTGTTTCGGCACCGGGCAGTCACAGAGTTATGGTCTCAATGCATCCTGATCGGATTGGAACCGCGCTGATTCTACAACTCAACAGTATCGCTCTTTCTAGCTGAGGCATTGCACGTGCCATGAATGCCGTTTTCAACATTCTTTTCTTGCTCGTCCTGGCTGTGACCTCAGCTGCATGCTGCCGGCTTTATTCCAGACTGTTCATGTCCAGGAGATGTTGTGACAGAGAGAGAGAGAGAGAGAGAGAGAGTGGGAGAGAGAGAGAGAGAGAGAGTGAGAGAGGGAGAGAGAGAGAGAGGGAGAGAGAGAGAGAGAGACTGCACTGCGCTTCGCTGGCACATGCATGGGGGCTCTACCTGCATGGGGGCTCTACCGATCCAAAAACAGAGTTGAACTCACTGGTTGCCATAGGGGTGCATAGGGGCATGGTGAAGAGGTTGTTTCGGTGTTTAGTGTACGGGGACGGGGGTGACAATTCGGAAATGGGGAGCCCACGAATACCCCACTTTGCCGACCACTAAACAAACTGGTTCTCTGTCGGACCAAGTGCCTGGGCGGGTCGTAGAGAGAGCGGGGCGGGGGGGCGGGGCAGGGTTTACCCTCCCTTCTTCCCCTTGGGAAAGAAAAGAAAGAGAGAGAGAGGTTTTGGCTCAAGTCGACCTGCCGCTTCCCTTTGGGGGGGGCGCTCGAGGACGGCCCGTTGGGGGGGCTGGCTGCTCCCAGCATCCCCGTCG